GGCCGCCCCCTGGCTGCATCGGTGCCTGCGCACCCCCACCCACCCCATCTCGCCCCTCAGGTTGAAGATCTCCCACCTGGACAGCATCTTCCTCAGCCGGGTGGCCTGGGCCAACGTTGGTGGGCTGCCAGGTGAGTGGAGGGGGGCTAGCTGGGTGGCGCGGTGGCAGCCTGGCACTGGTTCCTCTCACAACGTCTAGCCATAGGCAGCAGTTGTGTAGGCCAGAGCTGGTTGCTTTGTAAGCTGCCTGATAGGTGGTGCGTGGGGTCTTTCATGTAGCGGTGGAGAGAGGAAAAGCGCTGTCAGAGCGGCTAGATTGCATGTAGGGCTCTGCGATGCTTCCAGCTGCAATATGGTCTCTGTGACAGTGCATGCAAACACGTGGGGAGGAGGCAATGCCTCCCCAGCGTTCGTGGCTTTATCTTCCCAAAATCTTCTAGAGTAGAAGGCATTACCAGTGTTGCATTGCCAGCAGGGAGCTGTTTGTGAGTCAGACTAATTTGAGTTCAAACGGACCTACAAAGGTTTCTGGCCCACCCCTGTCCTCAAAGCCAAGTGAGATTAGAACAGATCACTTAGGATCTTGTGCATTAAAATTCTGGAAATCTACAAGAAAGGAGGAGATTAACAATCTGTTCATGTAACTTGGTCCAAATTGTGGCTATCAAGATTTGTAGATATTTTCTTTATCTGCGGAGATAAGTGACTTGTTGAAACTGCCACAAAGCTGAGGCAAAATTGAATTTGGATCCGAGTTCAGTTCTGGTCTTCATGGAGAGGCCCAGTACTCCTGGGCACTGAGAGGGATCTTTCTTGTGTGATCTACCAGCAGTTAGTGGGGCTGTGATAAAGCTGTTTCTCTACTTTCTTTTAGGTATGATTCTCACATTAAAGGCTATGGGGCTTCAAAGATGTGTTTTCCTAGGGCCACCAAAGCTGGTAAGTAGGGGAAGCTTGCAGAAGGGAGAGCGAACCCTTCAAATGTTAAAGCTTACCTTGGAATTAGGAGAGCTGGTATCAGAGGAGTGAATCATCGTGCAGGTGTAAAATGCTGCTCTGAGTTAGTGCCAGCCTGAAGGTTCTGCCAGAAGGGTTGGCTTTAAAAAGCAAATCTCTTCAGTTACATACAGGACAACATCAGACTTCTGCTCCTTAAAATTGCCTTGTCAGCTAATATTCTGGTAAATCATGTTTTGGAAAAAGGGTGTCCTTTGTTCTCCTGTCTGCTCCCTCCCCATTTTCTTCTAATAGAAACTTGGTCTCTGATCTCCTGCTTAACACGATCCTTGCCAGCCTAATGCTATGTCTAGGCTGAAAATTTCCAGTCCTTAGCATTGTTTTATTTCCTTGACCAGCGGGGTTAGCTCAGTTGGTTAGAGCACGGTGCTAATAACGCCAAGGTCACAGGTTCAATCCCTGCTCACTGCAGGAGGGTTGGGCTCGATGATCTCTCAAGGTCCCTTCCAACCCACAGCATTCTATGATCTGTTCTATGATCTAATATCTGCTGACTAACTATATTGATGGAAGGGATGGGGAGAGTGGTTCTTTATTTTTGTTTCTCTTTCTAAATGAATAATGCCCACTGGAGGTGGGACACCTGCCCAGTGCTTTTTGGCTGGCTGGGTGCTGCCCAGTTTTTACCTGACTGGGTGTTGAGCCTTTGACTTCGCTGGGAGTAACTGTAACTCCTGAAAGTGGTGCTTGTAATTGTGCTGCTTGGGCCTGGCCTCCTGATATACTGTCTCTTTTCCAGCAAAACTACTTGAAAGCAATTCGACTCTTTCCTGGGCCCCTAAAAAGGATGGATTTAGGTATGTAGGTCAGTGATGTGCAGTTAATATGATTCTGTAACTTCTTTTTGTTTCAGCTGTAGCCAAGGTTGCACTGAACAGTAACAACTTCAGAATAAATGCCTCTGGTTTAGATCACTCAAAGAAAGTTTTAAACATTTGTTTTGATCTGATACACTGTTCAAATCCATCACAAGAACTGTCTGGAAGAAAAATAGTGTTTCCAGCTCTGTTTCTGGTAGGCTGCTGCCAGTCTGTCTGACTTGTAGGCAGCGTTCGGTTTTAAAGCACTGTAAAGGCAATTTGCTTCCAGAGTCTGCCACTGAACTTGCTTACCATGGTATCATGGACTACTTTTTGTGGATGGTGGGCTTTTATGAACTTTAATTATTCGTTGATCTTTGCAGTTGGGCAGAGAAAGGGAAGGGGGACATTCATCAGGTTTTGTTTAAAAAGGAAAAAAGATATTTTCCTGATTTAAATTCTTGTAGAGTATAAATCTCTTCTTATGAACTTGTTAATGTGGGTTTCTGATCTCTTTCCAGCTGTGCAATTGCACACAGAGCCTGAGTATAAGGACGAGACAATGACGGTCTACCAAATACCTCTTACAGGTGAGCATGTGACGCTGTAGTCAGACAGGAGAGGCACTTGTTCAGTAACCATGCTTAAGGTGGTTAAAGGAGTGGCTTCTGTTTGCAAACCTGAGTAAGGAGAGGTTTATTAATTTTCATGTTTTTCTCAGGAGAAGGACCTCTTTCAAAGAAACAAGACCTGCTCAGTCAGGGCCTTGGTTTGTTCCTTTAGGTGTGGGTATATAGAATGACATGTGAAACATCACTAGATTTGGCTTTCTTAGCCGACTGAATTCTCTTACTGCTGGAAACTGTGATACTTAGAGTACAGGCACAGACTTGACAGAGTTTGGCAGTTTTGAGAGACTCTGAAGGACTTGGATGATGGATTGCTCCTGAAATAAGTGACTAGAGTACGCAAGTGCAAGTCAGACTGGGGAGAAGAGCTCTGTATTCTGGTGCAATTTAAACATGACTGTCATGGAAGAGGGAATGCTACTCATGCTTTTCTTATCTCTCCCTTTTGATTGAGTGGTCTTTGTCTGGTTTTATTGGATTTGGGACAGGAAAACCACTAGCTGCTGAAAGTACGTTGCCTCAGAGTCCTGGAGCATCAACCCGAGGTGGAAATAGCCCTCAAGGGGACACAGGGCCTGGATCCCCAAGAGCTGCACAGCAAAGCTTGGAGGAGGGCAAGGAAAAAGAAAGCCCAAAGAAAACAGGTGAAAAAAATGGAATGACATTTTTAACTTCAATGAAGTAACGCTAAATTAAAGATATGCATTTGTCCTCCGAGCTGTTTGCTCTCTGGAAGTGAGGTCAGTAGAGATGCTCAGCTGAAGGATTACATGGAGCAGAATGAGTTCTGTTGCTTTGGAAGTTGACGCAGAACTAATGAGGCCTAGAAATTGGACATGATTCCTACTTGGGGTGTGTTTAGTCCCTGTAGGAGTTTGCCCCTGGCTGGAGTGGGTGCTCCAGCCTTTGTAATTTAATTACAAGTGGATGTTGTGACTGATTATTTTTCAGTCTTGGGCTTTGTTTTGTTTTGTAGCTGAAACTGTGGGCTCTCTGGCCTTAGGCGCTTGTAACATTTTGCTGCTGGGCTCCCAGTTAGCTGGATGGTGCTGTTCCTGTTAATGCTTTAAAAAACATTCATATGTTTTGGCTTTAAGAAAAAATGATAGTCAGTGATGATTCTGAGTAGCTTTGCTTTCTTTTACAGGTGATGAACAGAAGTGTGCAAGCAGGCATCCTGATCTGGTGATGGCTTTCCTTTGTAAAGTAAGCTTGGACAGAAAGATCTCTAAATCAATGTAGAATAGAATAGAGTATTTCAGTGGGAAATCAATCATCTAGTCTATGCCAATCATCTAGTCCAATGGCCTGACCACTTCAGGGCTGGCCAGAAGTTAAAGCATATTGTTAAGGGCATTGTCCAAACGCCTCTTAAACACTGACAGGCATGGGGCATCAATGACCTCTCTAGGAAGCCTGTTCCAGTGTTTGACCACCCTCTCGGTAAAGAAATGCTTCCTAATGTCATTAGGACATTTCATCTCTCTAAATAGGTTTAATTGGAGATAGCATTTTCAAGCAGGACTTCGAAGCTATTTTGTGATTTGACTTTTCAAAGGTCAGAGTAACTGTAGCATGAGTAGGAATGTGTAAAAACTAGAGACCTTTTTTTTTTAGAAATGTTCTTTATAGAGCAGCCAATTAAGAGTATACAGGTTCCATGCTTGCTTAATGCTTACAGTAAGGGAAGTCTGTCCTGCTTACTTGGCTAAAGAAGGGAGCAATGATCATGCAGCAGCATGATCTTGGAAACCAGAAAGTCTAGTAAAAGCTTTTGGAGAGTAAATTAGACTAGTGGCTGTGGAACTGAAAAGAAAAAAAAAAATTCCCTTGCCTTGTGGGGAAACACTTAAAATAGAAGTATGTGGATCATGGATCTTGTTTCCTGGCCCTTTTTATTTGGCTGATAATTCTGTTTTATTTAACTCTTTTCAGATTCACCCAAAGAAGGGAAAATTCCTGGCAGCTAAAGCACAGGAGATGGGCCTGCCAGTGTAAGTACAAGATCCCAGCCTGAGGCAACACCAGGCATGTTGATGTTGGCAAGCTAAATATTTCTATGGCTTTGTTTTCAGGGGAACTCCAGCCATTCTTCCCATAATTACAGCTCTCAAAAACGGGGAGAGCATCACTTTTGAAGGCAGAGAGGTAAGATGTATCTGTGCTTTCTGCTGTGGCTTTGCCATCCTCCCTCCTTCACTGGGCTCCCAGGACGACAGTCTTAATGTGCATAATGTTTTGTCCACCAATAAGTATTGGGACATGTGTGAGTTTTTTGGTGGGTTTTTTTGTTTTGTTTTTCTTTGTTTTGTTTTACACCCATTCTTGAGGCAATGGTGAATGATGGTTGTTTGCCTATTCCTTCCCGTCTCTGCTAAGAGGTTGGCATGGGTTTTGCTGCTTTTGAGCTTTGAGTGGCTACTTTTGGTTAGTGACTGGTCCCCCATCGGGACACCTTTGGGTAAGAATCTAACACTTGGTTATACCAACTGCACCCCCCACACCTCCACCCCCCCCCCACATGCGGCACAACTTACAAACCATCTCCGTGGGAAACTTAGAAACCTCTATAGAGTCGCTTTAGGTCTGTTGATGCATCTGTGTTATTCTAAACTTTGGTATTTGCATGTGCCTTGCAGTCAGTGAATTTATCACCGGTAATCCAAAGAACCTGTGTGTCTGTTGCTTTAATAAATTGCTTTGATTTATTGGTCTAGCGTGATAGTGGTCATTGAACGTGACCAGACACTTTAAGTGTGGCCGTGATAGTTCATGCAGCACGACTAGACGAAAGGTGCCTACGTTATTTGTGAATCCGTAATCGTGATAGTTCAGTGCACTGAACGCGGCTGGACTTATAACGATAAATTGGGTACCTTCCAAAGCCTCTCTTGACGCAACAGAGAGGCAGAACCAGCTCTGGCCATGTCCCAGATGATCTGTAAGTGAAGATCCTAACCTGGGAGATAAGATTGACATATCTTTGTGTCATAAGAATCTCACAAAGCCTTTTTTTCTTAAGCACACTTTTGCTACCATCTGAATCTGCTGTGGGAACCTAGAAGACTGCTAACATTCCCTTCCTTACATTAGGTTGTGGTTTGCTCTGAGACCAGGGTTGGGATTTGTTGTTACACAGCAAAATGCAAACTTGTGTAATGAGAGTAGAAAGGGAACTGCACTGGCTGGGTTTGCTGAGCACTGAGAGGGCCTGCTTGCAGCTGCCTGCTAGGGCCTGGCTGATAGAACAGCTGTTTGAAAGTCTGACATAAAGGTGCAAGAAGGGCTGTGTATATAGCTTGATTGTGGTGTGATCTTTGTGTGTCTGCCTGCAGCTCTTTCCTGAAGAACTGTGCACCCCTACTGATCCTGGCCCAGTGTTCATTGTGCTGGAGTGCCCTCACAAGGGTTTTTTGGATGCTGTCTGTGAAAACAAGACCTTCCAAAGGTAGTGGGGCTGGGTGACCTGGAGTGTTCGGGGGAAGACATCTGTGCTGAACTTTGCCAAAGAGAAGTTCTTGTTCTACTCTAGATGTGTTGGTTCTTGTGGCTGATATCTGAGCTGTTTGGCACTGTTAGGGAACTAGAGATGCAAGAAAGGACTGGTGGTGCATTTTGAGCCTTTTAGGAAAGGCAGGCCTGTGCAGAACCTGTGGGGTTCTCTAACTGTGACAGGCCTGTCTTCCCTCAGGGGTCTCCAGAGAAGGAAAAGTGCACTGGTGTCTTGCTGGGGAGCAATGTGGAGACTGCTGCTTCTCTGTGTGGTAAAAGCCTGGACTGCATGTAACATCTCTGTAGGGCTTGTGCCAGAAGTACGTTAGGCTTCTGAAAGGCTCTGCAGATGTTGTTGCTCTTGCAGGAGAGGAACTGCCCTGGGAGGGAGAGTGGAGGTGTCAGCAAATGGTGGGTTTGAGCCTCGTGGAGCCTTGTGCCTACCACAGTGTGGAGCCTAGAGCTCCTGGGCTGTGCTCTTAAGATCCATGCTGTGTCTGCTTCAGGGGGGGCATTGCTGGTAGCACTGAGAGGGAGAGGGGAGCGGATGCCAAGGTGATGGAGGACTGAAGCACAGGTATTCTTTCTGTATTTGAATGTGCCCCAGGTACCAGGAAGGACTTCCTGAGAACCAGGTGGCCTTGGTTATTCACATGACTCCAGAGTCAGTGCTTCGAGACAGCCGCTACCAGCAATGGCTGGAAAGGTATGTGATCTTCTGATTACTAGGTTTCATGTCACTGTTGGAGAACAGTGTGTTCTTAGGGTGCAAATGTTTTTCCCAGGCTAGAAATAGCTGTTGGCTGGCAGCAGAGCTCTGCTGGCTCAGATGAGATTTTAGCTAATGGTTCAGGTGTGCACATATGCCCAGCTCTAATGTGGGGCTGAAGCTGTTGTGCATTTTATTGTCCTCTTACAGATTTGGACGTGGAACCCAGCACTTGGTGCTCAATGAAAACTCCTCTGCAGTGCACAACCCACGCAGTTACAAGATCCAAACTCAGCTGAACCTCATCCACCCAGAGATCTTCCCTCTGCTCACCACCTACCAGAGCAAGGTAGGCCAGGTCCTGCTTGCCTGTGTACCTCATGCCCCTGAGCAAAGAATGTGTTTAATGTCATTCTTCGCCCTGTAGGAAGAAGAGGCTGTGTGTAGTGTTCCCATTGTGCGAGGAGAGTGCCTCTTGAAATACCACTTCAGACCACAACAGGAGTGGCAGAGGTTGGTGGGAATCTTTGACCTACCAGTTTTTAGGTGTTGGCTTGAAGCAGCTTTTCAGTGTAAGTCTCTGCTGAGGAAGAACCGTATCCTTTGCTGATTCTTACTGGCGGCCGTGCTGGGGTAACTGCCAAGCTATCAGCTGTGTCTTAAGGGCTGTGTCCCTGTCCCTAGAAGTCTCAGACAAGGTGCAGGACACAGATGAGTGAACCACTGAAAACACCACCTGGCCATAGATTTGGAGTGTTATGTCCCTCGCTCTTGTAGTCTCATGTGCTCCTCTGTCCTTTGCTTTGACCTCATATGCTGTGCACTCAGCTGTGGCTGTGGCAGAGCAGATGGTGGCAGGGAAAGACTTTTGGGGGAGCCTGGTGAAAGTCTTATCAGGCTGTCTGGATCTTCAAATGATATCATAGCTGAAAGCCCTAGATGGTTAAACAGTTGCAGACTTCTCCACTGGTGCTTGCTTTGCGGGCAAGTAGGTGAAGCTGCTCAATGAGGATCTTAAGGGCAGGGGACCATGTGCAAGGGGATACCAGCTGCCATGGCTCAAATTTCTGGCTCTTTTGGGCAGAATAGGAGGACCCAGATACCAAGAAGAGTTTAAGTTTCTCTGCTTAAGGTGTCTGAAGGCCTGTAGTACTGCCCATGCTCTGATGCAGGACCAGGACACAGGTCCCTTATGCTTTTGAGTAGTGCCTGGAGCCCTTTCTGGTCGTTGCTCCTCTTTCAGGAGTCTCCGTGCTGCCTTGCAGTGCCCTCTAGTGTGTGGCACCTCTTTGGATCTAGACAGCACAGGGGAGCATAGCGCTGTTCCTGGAGCTTCCCCAGTTTGGTGGAATGATTTCTGTCATGTGGCTCAGCCCAACCAGGCCTTTTCGGTGCATACCACACTTGTGCATGTATCTTCCCCCACCCCTCAAAATGGAACTTGGAAGGAGCATTTGACCCTTTGTTGTAAGGCTGTTTTGGCATAGTAATTTGGCACTTTGCTCTGAAAAGTGCTGTCTTTTCAGTTCCTACCCTGCCTCATCCCGATAAATGGCCTGTTCTTTCAGAGATGCTGTGACTGTCTGCGATTACGATGCATTTGTTAGTGAAGCCTTGGATCTTCCTGACTTCCAGGCTCGTGTGAAGGAGTGCAAAGAGAGCCTGTCTGCTGTACCAGGTAAGGATCAGCAACTTGTTTTGGATCAGTGTAATGGGAAGTAGGAGGTCTTGGTGACCCACTGCTTTAGAGCTCAGACAAAGCTGTGAATGTGCAGTTTTCCTGCTGCCTGAGAGGTGCTCTTAAGGCCTCCTGGAGCTGTGCAGAGGACAGGCTTAACACAAACTGAGTTAGCTCATTTCAGTTGGATTTACACAGTCTTGTGCTTCTGGTTTTCTAAAGCTGTTAGGTTTGGGGACTGAGTGCTGTTGTGGGCAATTAGAGACAAAGCGCCCATGTGTTATTTCTCTGAGTTGACCAGAGCTCTGCTCATGTTGAATGCTGTCATAGCAGCCACAGTGTGAGTCCCTATGTCTGGGAGAAGTTTTGCTCTAGAACCAGCTCCCTGTGGGGCACTGTCCTCTGAATTGCAGTTGTCCTGTTGGCAGTGAGGCTTTCATGGTACAACAAAGCACCACTCACTCACTGTCTGGATCCTGATTCCAGGGAGAGTCAGGGCACTGTAGAATAGGAGTCAGGTCCCTCTTGAACTGCTAGCTGTGTCATGGGCAATAAGCAGAGTCCTTGTTTGCCTGCCTTTGGATATGCAGTTATTCATTCTGATGTGTTTTCCTGGTGGTGCTCATTCTGTCTTCCTGTGTAAACCTTGCTGCTGTAGGAAAGCCAGAGGCTGAGGAACACAAAAATGAATGTGCTGGACATGTAGACTCTGAAGTTACTAGGCTATTGAACTAGATGGTGTCTGACTGGGCAGTATGTGGTTAGCATTTACTTACAAATCCTTGTTGTCTGTTTTCTCCAGGAAATGTGGGTCCTTATCCTGAAATTGTGTTCTTGGGAACAGGATCTGCAATTCCAATGAAAATCCGAAACGTCAGTTCAACGCTGGTAAATACCAGGTAAATCCAAGTGTCACGCATTCTGCTTGGAGAGGCTCAGTGCCTCAAGAGGGTATTGGCCAAGGGCTGTTTTGACCAGTGTGTTGATGACACAGAGAGAGTGCCCCTGTTGTGGAGTCTGTAGGACTTCAGTTTCAGGCAGCTGTCTCTCTGTAAGTGGGGAAGACTTGAGAGCCACTTGTAAAGCTGAACATTTAATGTCTTAATTCGTTTTACCATCTGCCCCAAGGGTGTGTTCAGCATGAACACAAGACCAGAATGAGCTATGTAGATAGAACAGTCTTTCTAAAGCCTTGGCTCATAGGACTGGAGTAGCATTTAAAGGTGTAGACCACTGAGAGCTCTCTACCTTCCAATCCAGAAGGTCACCTGTCCCTGAGTGGGCCCTGGTCAGAGCTCATACAGTGGCTGCTAAATGTCTTTGTCACCTGCCTTGCTAGCTCTACCCGATCCCTGCTCTTGGACTGTGGAGAAGGAACGTTTGGACAGCTGTGTCGTCACTATGGAGAGCAAGTTGACCAAGTGCTGTGTAACATCGTAGCTGTGTTTGTGTCTCACATGCATACCGATCATCATTCGGTAGGTTGAGTGTGTTGGTAGGAGAAGGTGTTTGGTGCAGGCATGCTCTGCTGTTTGGGATTCAGATGTAGCTGCAGCTGATGAATGTAGGCTGCCCTGCTGTTAGGGCTGCACTTCCCCTCTGCATTCCCCAGGCACTACTGAATCTGTCTGTGTTTCTAATCCCCAATCTCTTCCTCTTTGGGGTCCCTGCAGACTTGCTGGCATCATCCAGACTTGTAATTTTTTTAGCAGTATCCAACCCAGCTTCCTTCAGTGCTTTGCAATAAATAGTTACAGAAGGACCAGTTGGTCTGTTCTAGATTGCACCTGATCAGGGTACGCTGTTTGCTGGTCTGCTGTCTTGTGTCTGGAAACCACACTGGGTCTGAGATGTTGGGTACAGACTTTCTGCTCTCTACCCTTCTTTTGAGAGCAGACACAGCAGCACTGACAAGGGCTGAGGGGCTTGTGTTGTGGGCTGCTGGCCACCAGCTTGGGGGCTTAAGCAGTGACAGTGTTACAGCAGCTCAGCAAGTTGCAGTTATTGGAAAAGCAGTAATCATATATTTCTGACTAGGTTTTCCAAAAACTGCATCTTGCTGAGCTGCAGTAGCACTGTTGCTACTTACGCCCCAGATATTTCTTACTACAGCTTGCTGTCTTGTTTATTCCCTTTCCAGGGGTTGTTGAACATCCTGATGGAGAGGCGGAGAGCTTTTGTAAGTAGTACTGTTGTTTCACTGCTCCTGAACTTGCCTTGGAGTGAGGGGAGGGGAACTTCTGAGTAGTGGAAAAGCATCATTATTTCTCTAGGTATTTCTTCTCTCTGATTTGGTGTATACCTAGTACTGATTGTTTGTTGTTTGGTTTTTTGTTTTGCCTCTCCCCCCCCCCCCGCCTTTGCTTTTCAAGGCAGCCCTTGGTCAGGCTTTCAGCCCTCTGTTTCTGGTAGCACCTGAACAGATCATGCCCTGGCTACACGAGTACCACAACCACTGTGAAGAGATTCTCGGAGACATCAAGTGAGTGTTCTGTGTGGTATGTGGAGAAATGTTCTTGCTGGGTCCTTATTCAAGGCAAACTACTGTCATCCATTCCCCACACCCCTTCGTTGAAGGCGACTCTTAACTCCTTCCACTGTGTGTAGAATTAGGATGTGCGGTTTGCAAAGGGGAGGATGGCGTTTGTTACTCAGTTGTGCTACTTAATAGAGGCTTACATGCAGGCTTTCCTTTTCCTTAGGAAAGGGGAGTTGTGCAAGTGAAAAAAGATTCCTGGAAGAGGGATTATTTGACAGTGGGGAAGAAGTGTTTGGATGAGTTACTGGGGCACTGGACAGTGAAAGCAAGGGGAAAACCAGATGGGTGCACAAAAAATGTCTTGTTTGTAAGGTGCTGAACTGAGAAGGAGAAATAGGCTGCTTAAAGATAAGATCAGGTTTTACTTCGTACCTGTCCTTAGTTCTCTCTTCTCCCCTCCCTCACAGAATGATTACTTCCCAGTCTCTTGTGAAAGGTTGTGAGAACATCAAGCCTAAAGCCAAATGGTTTGTCAGTTCTCTGTTAGAGAACTACGACTTGGCTGAGGTAAGCTCACGAGCTGGCAGTGTCAGTTGCTATGAGGGGCAAGAGGGCATGTGAGGTCTAACACTTGTATCTTTGTTCAGTTTCAGACTTGTGAAGTCCAGCACTGTAAAAATGCTTTTGCATGTTCAATGATCCACAAATCTGGCTGGAAAGTAGTCTATTCTGGTGACACAATGCCCTGCATGGCCTTAGTACAAATGGGTAGGTGACAAAAACCCTCTGTTTGAAGACTCTTGGAGAAAGGTCTTGAACTGTTAGTATCCAAAGTGGGCACCCCCAAACCCTTGGTGCTGTGCCTGCAACACAACAAGGGGCTAAGGGTTGGAAATGAGAGTTCATGTAGGCGGTAGAACTAGTCTATATTCAACTGAAGGTTGAATATATGATTATTTACACAGGGAAAAATGCTACCCTGCTGATTCATGAAGCAACACTGGAAGATGGCATGGAAAAAGAAGCAATAGAGAAGACACACAGGTGGGGTGTGTTCTGCTGTCTATCACTATTAGGAAGGTGAAGATGCAGAGCTGGGCTTTGTCCTTGGTGGAGAAGGACCCGAGTCCTGTAGGTGGTTCTGGTGTGCATAGAGCTCTTCAGCACTAAAAATGGTGTGTTGCTCATTGCACCAGCTCTGTAACTCTCACAGCTCTTCTGAACGCCCCCAGAGAGGTGGGAAGAGTTTTCTAAGTGGACAGTAGTAACTCTACAAATAGACTACCCCAAAAGAAAGGACCTCTGCTTGATTACATTTCAGGACTAAGCTCAGGAGGTAGACGGGTGATCATATCCCCCCAGCTAACCGTGCAATTCGAACTGAGTGCTGCAGCCAGTAATACTGAGTGCTGCCCCCACCAAAAGTGGGGAGACCCGAGAGCAGCTTCTTGGAATTAAGTGTGAGTTGCAGTGCAAGAGAGCTGGTCTTGCTGGCACCCCAGGGACAAGTATTTGAATAAGCCCCTGTCCCCAGTTTGTGGAGCTCTTAGCTGTAGAGCTCGAAGTAATTAGAGCTGCTTTCCTGCACTCAAGTCGTTTGGAAGTCAGAGACTTGCCACCAGCGTAGGTTGCCAGAGGAAGAGGTGCCTGGGTGTGCCTGCAAAGAGCAGACGTGCCTTGTGCGCAGCAAGTGTTAGATAGTATCTAGTGTTGGCTGTTGGTGTGATGTGACCTTAGATGCAAAGCAGCCTGCCCTGCCCTGTCAGAGGAGCAGTGCTAGCCAGCCTGCGTGTGACCTGGTTAACACAGTGCTGTGTTCCTGTTCCTTTTGCAGCACAACCTCCCAGGCGATTCAGACTGGGATGAAGATGAATGCAGAGTTCATCATGCTCAATCACTTCAGTCAGAGATATGCTAAGATCCCGCTGTTCAGTGAAGACTTCAGTGAGAAGGTTGGAATTGCATTTGATCATATGAGGGTAAGTTGGGAGCTGTGAGTGAGACTGTGGGAAAAGTTTCAGTATTACTTTGGGATGTCTGCTCCTGAGTTAAATTCTCCACTTGTAATGTTGTATTGATACCCCATCTCTGTCTGAAGAGTAATCTCTGAAATAGCTTCTTTTATTGCTGGCAGCAGGCATCACCAACATGAGGAGAATAGGTGGCACAGAGCGAGACAGGTGCTGATGGCTCTTGAGAACAAAAGTCTACTCTTAACACACTGTGTACTTGCCTCATGTCACCTCTGTTCTGTGCATGCTACTCCCAGCTGAAAACCTAATTTTGCTTCCATTCCCACTCCCTTCTCAATTGGTGTGCTGCAAAAGACATCCAGGAGCCAAAAGCTGCTGCCATTGGATTGAATGCAATTGTAGCAGTGAGAATAGCTCACTAATCAGTCAAAACTTGTACAGTGTCCACATCATTTCTTGTAAATGTAAAGAAAATGTAAATAACTTGGCATATGGGATCTGTGGACTGACTGCCATAGGGTTGGAAATGATGACCTGCCTGCTAGGGTAAATGCAGCTGAAAATCATCGGCAACGTTAGGGCTCCTCTGTGCTGGGTGCTGCATGGAGGAAGAGGCAGTGCCCTGCCATCTGAACAGGCAAAAGACGGGGTGGGGTGAAGAAGGAAAACAAAAAGCAATTCTCATGCAGGTGTTCCTGTGTCTGATGTACTTCAGGTACGTTTTGGTGACTTTCCAACCATCCCAAAGCTGATCCCATCTCTGAAGGCTTTGTTTGCGGGTGACATAGTAGAAATGGAGGAGCGGAAGGAAAAACGGGAAATGCGCCTTCTGAAGGAGACTGCTATAGTCTTGGACAAACTGGCTGATGGTGAGAACGAGGAAGAGCTGTGTCAGAAACGGAAACAGGCCAAGAACTATCAGGAGCTACCAAACAAGAAGCTTAAAACAGTAAACTGAAAGAAACAAGATTGAGAATGCTGTGCTCTGTAAGAGGTGCCTTGCTCTCTGCAGGCCTTGGGAGCGTGCAGACACCTTGGAAAAAGGGGCTGGCCTCAGCATCTGGGTTTGCTTGGTCATCCATTGGATCATCAGTGACCTCCGTGGGCTGAAGCTACCAACCGTGGTGTTAGCAGCACAAGTCCTTGTGGCAACATTATCTGCCCATCCAATTCCTGTTCCTGGGTCTTACCAGTTCATATGTCATTTTTCTTTTAGCCAAAAGTTCTTCTCTCTGAACTGTTTTTTTGTTTTTATGGTGGGATCTATTGATGATGTAACAGCAGCAGTTGTGACCCTTGCAAGACATCTGGTTTGAGAAGCCCTTGAGGGGCCATGGATTCGCCAGAATAAGGCGAATAAGGTCTCTGGGTTATGAGGAATGTAAGTAGGTATCAGAACCCAGCTCACAGGAGGAAATTTCACAATAAAATGGGACCCAATTAATTTTTAGGTTAATTTAGGGATGTGAATGCTGCTGTGTTCCCATTTTATTTTGGTTTTCTCAGCTGATTTTTTTTTTTAATAAGATCAGTTTTCCAAAACCTTTATTTAGAATCTGAATAAACCACTCAACATTGTATAGGAGGCTGTGCTTTGTCTAGATTACTAATGAGGATTTAGTGAGGGGAAAACAAATAACCTGAATTGCTCCAGAGAATGACCTCGGTTGGCTGTTTCTGCATTACAGCATTGGTGTAAAGACCAAGATCTCACCCTGATGCTGGAGTCCCATGCCTGTTCTGGTTGTGTTTTGTGCCAGCAAAATCATACCTGCCTCTGCTACCCTACAGCCAGGAGCTTCACTTCTGTTGGTTCAAGCTGGTAACAACTGGGAGTGGCTTTTGAATAGCTCCAGAACAAAAAACTGTGAGTTTCTGCAACCAGATCCTAGTCCTGGATGCAGGGGACTGGAAGGCTGGCAATGCAGGCTGATGTGAGAAAGGTCTGTGGTTAAGAGAAGGAGTATTTTTTGAGGCTTTCTGGGGGTCAGCTTTGCTTCTTTCCTTACCAGTGCAGTAACTGCATGTGTTTGTAAGCAGGACGGGGAGCTTTGCCCTGTTTCAATTAAGGAGCTCATCTTCAGAGGCAGCTTGGAGGCACTGGGCCCCAAGCTCTGCTCAGCAAATGATACCAGCACATATTAAAGATTTAAGACTTCATTTTAAGGTGATAGAAAGTGAAAACACAAACTGGCAGCAAAGCATCTTTTGTTGATTAGCTGTGCTTTAATATTTTGCTTGTCTAAAGAAGAAACTGGGTAATTGACACAGCTGAGTATTACAAAAAAGGTCTGCTGGGCTTTTAAGAAGATCCAGGGGGCTGAAGAAAGACTATTGCACAGGTGTAAATAGGATCATGTTAGGGTGCCTAGGGGAGGGCATGGTTACAGCTGTGGGAACACAAGCAGCCCCTGGACTGCACAGGATCTCTGTGCTGCGTTTCACAGAAGTAAAGAAGGGTCTTTTATTTAGAAAATAATGAACCACTTCTCCCATAAGCATGTTAATAAAATGCAAATACAGCAATGTTAAGGGATCATAGCACACAAGCTCCAGCTCCTGGTGATTGATGCAAGTACTGCGGTGGTGTGGAGCAACGTGATAGGTGGTGGTGAAAGGTACCTGCCTGTGCCTGGTGTAGAAAAATGACCCGGACCTGTGCTCACGAGCTTCCCTGCTGAGTGAGCCGGAGGGAAAATTGTTTCTGGGGAGCCTGAGCTTTTCCGGTATAAGGAAAAACCGGGCTGCGACCAGTCCGGGGAAGC